AAAATTGGCAAAACCGCTGACGTCACTTTGAGAGGTGAAGAGGGTCGAATATCAAAAAGACAATCGTCTAAAATTTCTATAGAATTTAATGCAAATGCGGTTGAATCTTTTACAAACATAAAAAATTCTTTAATATCAAGAGATATTTTGTTGTACTATCCAAATTATGAGAAGCCCCTCTAGCTAACAACTGATGCGTCAGATTATGCTCTCGGAGCAGTTTTATCTCAAGGAGACAACCCATTGCCTCAAAGAGACAAATCCAACAAACTCCTATAAATTTGATATAGTATTCCCAAACATCCACAGGCATACACTTCCAGAAATAGATTATACCCCTGAACAGCTAATCCAAATTCTGAAAAAATACTTAAATCCCTCTGTAATAAATGGCTTTAAAGCACCCGAAACATTAATGGGAAAAATTCAAAAAATTTTTCCACACCACTTCGCAAAATATCGTATTAGATTTGTAAGCCTCCAAGTGGAAGATATTAAAGACAATACCCAACAGGATGAAATAATTATCAGCACACACAAAAGAGCTTATAAAAATGCCAGAGAAAATAAAATACAGATTCTTGAAAAATAATATTTTCCCAGCATAAACAATAAAATTAACGGAATCAAGTCAAGCTATGTACTATTTGCAAAGAAAACAAATTAGAAACCTGAACTACGGGAAACACCAATACCCTTATATCCTGGGGGATCGTCCATATTGATATTTTTAAAACGAAAAAAAAACTTGTTCTCACAGCATTGGATAATTTCTCAAAAAAATACGGTCAGGGCAGTATTATTATGTCAAGAGTTATTGAACGTGTAAAATAACCTTTACGAGAATTAATATTTTTATTCGGTGTTCCAAAAACTATATTTTTCGATAATGAAAAGTCTTTTAATTCAGCTTAAATAATTTTTATGTTACAAGACCAATTGAATATTGAAATCTACAAAGCTCCAAGTCAGGTCAAACGATTTCACTCCACCCTAGCTGAAATTATGCGTTGCCTTCGAACTGAACGGGCATACCCTACCTTTATAGAGCAATTTATGTATACAATTACACAATACAGGGTTGGCCATATTCGACGGACTCATCTGGCAACGCCATAACTTTTGACAGAGATGTCACATCGCTTAATAACATACGGCGTTTGAAACGTCAGTCCAAGCAGATTTTTAACATGAACCAATACACGCCTCGCCAGCGCTCTGAAATAGTTGAAATTTACAAGTAGTTAATTGTGAAAACTCAGCGTGCTTTTAAAACATTAAAAAATGTGAGAAGTGCGCCTTCTAAGAACACCATTAAGCCTTTATACGAAAAATTTTCGACTAAGGCGATCGGCCGAGAATATCGCTGCCGTACGAGCCAGTGTTGAGAGGTCCCCGAGAACATCCCAAAAACGCCGTTCTCAGCAGTTGGGCATCGCTCGGTCCACTTTACAACGGATTATTCGCATTTGTTCCCGTACAAAATTCAATTGACGCAAAGAATGTTGCCTGCGGACAAGCCTCGTCGATTGGAATGGGCCCAAAGGGCCCAAAGGTCCGTCGAATATGGGCAACCCTGTACATAGCACAACAGGACAAAGACCACTCGAGGTATTTTTCTTAAGACGAGTTAGCATAGACCCCGAAATGTATGATAAAGCAAGACAAGATAATATCCAAAGATTACGAGGCAAACAGATAACTGGCCTTAAAAACCATAATAAAAAACGGGAACCAATCAAACAATTTGACCCAGGTAATGAAATTTATGTAAAAATCCATAAGGGTTTAGGGACTAAATTATCTCCAAGATTTAGAAAAGAAATAGTAAAAGAAAATAACACTACAACAATACTTACAGAATCAGGAAAATAGTACATAAAAGCAACATCAAAAACTGACTTCATTTTTATATATTTCTTTTAACAGAACATTAACATTTCACTGCACTTCTTCACAAACCAACACACACTTTATGAACTTCACACATAATGGACTATCAAATGGAACTTTCAACATTATTCACATCATAGACATAAGAAGATACAGAAACCTCGTTGAGGACATATAATGGAAAATTACACAAACCATTCCTAAATATAATGCTTTTTTCCCACTCCTAACACATGAAATATCAGAAATACACAATATCCTTGAAACCATAGAATCAATAGAAAAAAGAAAAGAGCCATTAATATGATAGGCACAGCCTGGAAATACATCGCGGGATCTCCGGATCACGATGATTTTGGATAATTACAAAAAGTTTAGACCAAACAATCCAAAACAATAACCAACAAGTAATAATAAATGACATTTTTACAGAAAGGTTACAAAACCTAACCCAAATTACAAATCAAATAGAAAAATACATAAAAAGATAACAACTATGTGAATGAAGCTGCACTCACTATGCAAATAAAACTGAGATTTACAAAAGAATATTTGGAATACAATGGGCTAAGCTACATATTGTAAACACATTTTTATTAAATAAAAAAGAAATGAAAATTGCATTAGAAAAAATAAAAAACGATAATATTATTGTAACATCAATAGAAGAAGCCCTAGAATTTTCAAAACTGAAAGTAGTATATAATCAAGAAAAACTTTTATATTTTATTGAAATACCTTTAACTAGTAATAATGACAAAAAATGTAAATTTTTTTCAAAGGAACCAATTAGTAGATATTTCCAAAAATACTTGTATCCCACTGCTACTAAACGGATTGAATTCACTTGTCAAATTACTCACGGGTATCATATTCTTCAGATAGGAACTATTTCGCCAGGTATTATATTTCTTAATGATTTTAGTGAAACAGTAAATAATAAATCTTTAAACGGAACATTTTTAATAGAATTTCAAAATGTCACGCTGCGTATTAATGACAAATTTTACAAAAATTTAGAAGCTCCATTTTTAATAATTAGTCCACCAGCAATACAGCAAACACCCAACGAAAATGAATTCATAAATCTTTTATCTTTGGAAATGTTAAACTATTTGCATATTAATAGTCCATCCATGAACTCAACTCGGAATCAGTTGTAACTAAATTTACCTTTTTTTATTTATTTTCGATTTTTGTTATATTTTTTTTTGATAATTGGTGTTTTAACAACGAAAAAACACACAATATTCATGCATACAGTTACCCCAAAACGTCGATGACTTACCATATTTCAAACGACTGGGGACAATCGTTTTTAAAGGGGGAGGAGTTAACACACAATAAGTTGTTAATACAATAAAATATTGTTTTTTTAATAATTATTCCAAAGTAATCAATTCTCATGAAACTGCATTGCAGACGTTCGTCTGCTCAAAATATTTTTCCCAACATTAAATTCCGATTAATTTTAAATCCGGAAGTTGACTTCGTGCTTTGCGCGTGTAGACGAAATTAACAATAATTGTTTTCGGTAACAGCAACTAAATTTTAAACAACGGAGTGGCATGGTTTCAAGGAAACTAATTTTGTTAAATAAGCAAATTAATTTTAAAATTTTATTCTCACTCGAAAATTGTAACGTAGTTCTTAATACACTCTTTGATTAGCAGCCAACCAATAAAGTTGATGTTAATAAATAAAAAAATCGTGGTTTTAGTTAAAAGGCAGCAGTAAGTTCAATTACGATAATTGCAACTTACAGGATTAAAAGTAGTCCGCAATCCTTTTGAGGAAGTAACGCGTAATAAAAAAAACAGCACTAAGTTCAATTTCGATAATTGCAATTTACAAGATAACTTTAAACCGCGATCCTTTTTGACAAAGCGTCGCATAGGGATCACGTTGATCCAATTTTTTTTGATACCTTAACACATAAGGATCTAACTTGTATTCAACACCACAAAACAGTATATGTGTGATATGAGTTTACAGGAAAATACGGAAAAGTAATTATGCCGACATAGCGTACGTGTAGACGATGGCAGTAGAATGAATAAGTTTATTTTATAATTGTATCAAGTTCAAAAATGCCAGAAAATAAAGAATGCCGTATGATACACAGAAAAAAGCCACACCGAAAGATGTTGGTTGATAAAATATATCAAACATCACAAAAAAGCCATCAATAAACGTGATTGACCAAAAAAAAATTAAAATTTGTTGGACCATTTTTAATATTTTTTGTAATATGCCATATTATTGAGCATATTGACACCACGGCATATAGAGATATTATTTCAGGGATTGGCAGTAGGAGATATGGCGATATCTCAAAAGAAACTAGAATTCAACAATGCTGAAAAACACCTAAAACACATACCAGTTTGGAATTTATAGTTTGTGGTTTTGTCACAAATCCAGTTACATCATTTAAGGATATGCTGATGGATTCACAAAATGGGAGATTGATTTTAAAGCATTATGCAACGCATTATATTTTAACGAGGAACAGCGCAACTTATTCATTAAAACACTTGCAAAGTATATTGAGGTAAGGGATATCCTTGCTCACTTGCGGATAGTGATGAGATACAAAATAAAATATTCAAAAACGCGCTTTCGATCCAATTACCAATATCGATGAGAAAACAAATTTGCATGATCAGCGTCTGCATACCGGCGCATGTTGGTGCAACATGATCGATGAAGCCAACGAGCCAACAGAGTTGGCTAAGAACAGACAGTCTTGGTCGAGAAATCAACCCGATCGCTTTGGATTCGTGCTGGATCGATAATTATTAATAAGTAAAAAGAATACATTAGAAATTGTAATAAGAAATTAGCCTTGTATTTGTGAATATTAAATGGTGAAAATTTATAAATAAAAAGAATACATTAGAAATTGTAATAAGAAAAAATCCTTGTAATTGTGAATATTAAATGTTGAAAATACAATTATTCTCTTTTATTTTCGGTGCAGTGATTGGGACCTTTAAAAATTAATTTTTTTAGTGTTCTCAATTGGAAGGCTCTAACTTTTATATAGGAATATATAAATATTTATATATATTATTTATTTTCCAATATTTATCATTATTATTTAGTTCCAGAAGCTGAGTCAGATTTCGCTCTCCGTTGTATTCGAAACCAAAATACAACAGCTGACGAATTCGATATTTACTGGAAAAAATTCTCTCAGCTTAGATTTTCCGAAATTGAACATTAAAGGAGCACAAATTACATTTTGAAACGTTGGTCTGAGTACAAAAAGCTTTCTGGAAATAATTTGGTAAGTAATTTGTTTATTTCGATAAAAATTATTGTATAAATACTTTTTTCTCACAAAGATCGATATCGATTTTGCGCTTAAATATCCTAAATCCTGTAATCTTATATTAAAGTGGCCACTTTACGAGAAAAATATCTGACATCTAAAATAGTAGCATCTAAAATTTCTTCCAAAATCGTAACTAATATCGATAAATACGACGAAGGTGAGACGAGTTTTCATTTAATTGACAATACACATACTTAATTCAAAATTATATTATCAATTCATTTCAGAATCGAAAATTTTCTTGATTTTTTGGAATTTGCACCATCTTCTTCCACCGCAACAAAAGCTAATCACAGACAAAACTGACATAAAAATAAAACGGAAGTACTCCATACCTAATTCACAGAATTCTTTGCTCTTATTGCCGAAAACAACAAGGAAATGGATCTTAAAGTGAAACTGTTGAAACTGCGCAAAACCAATATCCAGCCTATACTGCTTGTTACGGGAGAACCGGATAGTGTCAAACAAATACACATTTATTTCGATGGAATACGTTTTCCAATTCTAAAAGTCTTAACAGCTGTAGATTTATTGTTTAAAATATTCTTTGTATGTAATTTAGAATTTCCTGACGAATCTAATATTTTTTACAACTTTATTCAAACCTTTTTGTATGAAATGAAATCTGATAATAAATGTCCAAAAATCTCTATGATGTAAAATAAAATTTTAAAATTAAATTTAACGTAAAAACTATAATGTAAAATGTGTATATATGCAATCATTTAATTCCCTTAATATATAAATATCACAATCAATGTATTAAACAAAAGATAGACATACATATGTAACAACAAAGGGTTTGTATATATGAACATTTCTAGATCGAATTTTGCTTTGATATTTAACACACCTGATTGTATATACACTATTTTTTTTTTTCAAATTAAAAAATAATTCAAACACCCTGAAGTTTGAAAAGAAGTCTGATGGAATTCAGCATTCTCGAGGAAATGAACCAGCAGTATTAATGTAGTATTGGCCTATATAACACACACAACAAACAGACCAAGTACAACCGTCAATACATTTACTGGACATATCTATGAGTAAATTGTGCGAAGACACAGACTTAGGCTGGTGATTACTTATTTACAGAATACGATTCCGATTCAGGAATCTTGAAGTACGGCTTGAACATAGTAGCTAATGAAAAAATTTAAAAAAAAATCCCAAATGCTAGAGATTGGAGCACAATGGAAGAAATTAAAGAAGGAAATCCTAATCAGCAGCCAACCGAAGAAGACATGCAGAGATTTACAACTTTTGCAGAAAGTAGAAAATTTAGAAAAAATATTTCAACATTTTGTTAGTGTCAAATATGAAATAGATTTTATATGATGTAGGTTTTGAGAAAACCAAAAATGTATGGGTCATAAAAAGTTGACAGATATTTAGTAGATCTTTTGTTAGAGAAGATAGATGGTCTTGTTAGAGCCCATATATCAGATGAAGAATCACTTCAAGACATTATAAATAAGTATACAAGGCTCAGATTATAGGATCAGATTATAAGCATCGGAAAATATTAGTCAACAGTTTAATAGGGAATGGCAAGAAAATAATAACAATTTTACAAAACAGAAAACCTCAATCGGATTATAATATAAGTCCACCTAGTCTAATTTCGAGATATAATATAATATAATATAATATAATATAATATAATATAATATAATATAATATAATATAATATAATATAATATAATATAATATAATATAATATAATATAATATAATATAATATAATATAATATAATATAATATAATATAATATAATATAATATAATATAATATAATATAATATAATATAATATAATATAATATAATATAATATAATATAATATAATATAATATAATATAATATAATATAATATAATATAATATAATATAATATAATATAATATAATATAATATAATATAATATAATATAATATAATATAATATAATATAATATAATATAATATAATATAATATAATATATATACTTTTTTTATCTGATAGTCAATTTTCATGAATAGTTTCTAGATAGGCAAATAATTAATCTTATAAAAATCGATATGGTAAATCAATTGAACAATATTCTTCACTGATTGGATTGGCAACTTAAAATACTTGGTGTAAAAATTGTTTTAGAAAATATTCAATTCATTTGTAAGTATTTTAACTAATACATTTTATGTTTTAATTTATGTTGATACGCTCTCCAATAAAGCCTCAAATCACTTCGTAGAGAAAAAAGCCAATTAATGTACACACATTTGGTCTAAACCTTAAATAGACCTTTTACCTACCTTTTAGCTTGCAATAATACTTGAAGGCAAAACAACGGAAACTGAGTTAATTTTTCTTAAAAATACAAAAAAAAAACAGTTATTTTCTGTTTTCTATTGTAAAATATAAATTAATGATTGATATTTCGGCATTCGTCTTTTTAAGAGATTTTGAATTTTATTTGACAAAACTATGGTCATTTTGCAGAAAAAATTAGCATTTCTTAGAGATCCATTTTCCGGCTCCACCATTAGGAAACGTCCATGTTTGTTCAAAACATGTATTTACTTGTATTAGCTTACATCAAATAATTTAATTAAATCTGATCATCTGATAACCTAATCGACCTATCGTCATGCTTATAAGGTTATATTTATGGACGGAAAACGTTCGCCCTTTTAATACAATGGGCAAATAATGGTAATGTATTTGATTGTAATTATATTTCTATAATTTACAATGTAAAAAGATCATTCACGCATGTTCGTTTTTGAATTATTTCTCAAGTTACAATAATTCTGTTTTTACAAATGAAAGTAGTCCTTACAAATAAATGCATTTTTTAAAATTCATAATATCGTAATAATTTTAGTGTTTACATATCATATGATTCTTAATAAATCAAGGGGAATAACAATATAAGATATATGCCATGATATACCTTGATTTAGAAAAAAAAAAAAGATATAACGCCATAGTTTCACGTCAACTGAAGATAAAGGTCGATTTTGAAGTCAACTTTGTTGAAGTTAAGTTATTATTTGAGGAATATCATTTAAATATATATAATACATTCACCTTGAAAGCGATTCCAATTACTGTTTTGTATTTTAACAACCATAAGCATTTAAATATCGAGAAAAATATAACTGTTTCTAAATTATTGAAAAGACATAACTAACTCTTTTTTTCATAAGAGGTGACATTTTGACTTTCACTTATGAATTACAACATATTGTAAGATATATAGATATCCCAAGATTTATGAACAAAAGATTGAACGCCAAAAATGGACCGCCTGCATTTCACTTTGAGGACATACTGGTATAGAGTACCTCCTAACTGGAGCATGTAGATAGTTTGAACAAGATTTTCCCTTCAAGGGATATTACGGGTCTTAAAATCTAAATAGACAAATGTTATTTTGTATGTTTCATTTAAAATATATTTTAACTCCTGAACACGTAAAACCAAATATATCAATTGCAATACATTCCCAACTTGAACATCTTAAAGCTCACATCACAATTCTGGATACTGGCGATATAAGACCCCGAAAGAGAGGATTTCGAGAGTCATGGAAAGAAAAACAAGGAATGTACACCCATGCAAGCGACTATAATAAGTTATACATCTTACAATTCTTTACTCTCATTATAGCGATGTAGTATTCATCCATTATAATTCATTGAAGTTACGTGGCATCAAAACGACATTTTGTTCTTAAGAAATTAAATTTTTGAATTGTGCTAAATTAAAATTCACACAAGTTGAGGACATAATAGTACCTCACACTATAGGCAAAAAATTTATCAAGTAATGAAAAATGTCTTGGGAATGTTTTTTAACTCTAACGAGTCCTCGCCCTATAATACAAACTTTGTTGCCACTAAATTATATCCTTACCCAATGGGTGTGGCAGACTTCATTAACATCCAAGTACAGGAGTTACTGGAAAATGGTGTAGTCACCATCTAGATGGCGGATAAAAAAGGGAAGGATGTGAATTGAAAAAATAAGAAAAGTCTCGTTAAAACAGAGACCAGATGCGACAGTTATCTTATCAGAACTGCTAAAAACCAGATATTTTAGCAACTTTGACTTGAAATCCAGGTTTCACCAAAACTCCCTTTCAGAGTAGGATAGAGAGCCATCGGCGACGGAGCAAATAAGGAATACGTGCTACTTCTGCGTGGACGATGTCATAATATTTTCAGAAAATTAAGATGAGCATATCAAACATATTAGATGGGTGCTACAGCGACTTTTTGATGCAAATATGCGAGTCTTCAGAGAAATGTCACACATTTTCAATTATCGAATATCTCGGATTTGTCGAGCTGTAATAAAGTAAATGCGATTCGTAACTACGTATGCTTTGCTTCACTATTTCATCTCGGATCTATTTGGGATTAGTAAAAATTCAAAATTCTTCTTGGCTATTATTTTTGTGGATAACTAAACTGACAAATTAAATTTTGTCTAATAGCCAAGTGTGAAAGTCATCCATGTAGACAGTTGAATGGTACGTCCCCTATACCTTCGTATACATAATTTGAATTGTATATTCATGTGCAAACACACTCGACCAAGACCATACTCTTTAAGACAAACTATTTAATACCATAACCAACCCACTCTCTTAGAATTCTCAAAATCTTTAATCTTTAAGGATACCCGACGCAGTAAAAGACCTACCTAAATCTGACAAAAATTTTCTAGGGTTCCTAGCTAATATTGATGGAACTAATTTTGCGAAATAGTCCTCAGGAAAAATCGAAATAAAATAGTTAGGAAAACTAATGAAATTCTCAACACATACATACTCAATCAGTCAGGGAGCACATAAAATCGAATCTTATTCTAAAATAAAAGAAAGACCCCTATTAATAACTGACCTACACAATTTGAAGCAAACTAACCAATCAATTCAACAATTTCATGGCTCGATTATCGAAATTCAAGCTGCGGTTTATAACAACTTACATAGAGCAATTCATCTAACTGAAAGCGATGATGGAATCTTTACAGAAAAAAAATCAATAACATTAATGAAGACCATTTTTAGGGTAAATGAATGTCTGCCTTACTTCATAAAGACTGACCAAAAGACAGGTAAAAAATATTCAATATTATTAGACACTGGAGCAACAAGTTGCTATATAAGACAAAGAATTTATGAATATACAAAGAAATTACCTATATTATTAGAAGCAGACCAATGTAGAAAAGGGAGAGCTATGATACGAGAAAGGAGTTGAAAAATTGTAACTTCCGGAAAAGAATTAACAGAAAAAGACAATATTACAAGCGGAAAAGTCGATAGGTAAACTCAAACAAAACTTAGTAATGAAAGAAAAGGAAACAAAGAAAATAAACAAAATAACGTAGAAGAATAGTTTCATAATTGTATCATGCGAACAAATATAGAAGAGAAAATAAGTGAAGAGATAAAAAAGGATATAGAGAATCTACATTCAAACGTAGATATGAAAATCCGATTTAGAACAGACATTAAAGCAGAAATTAAAAAAAACCCAGACCACGCCATATGGGGTAGACAATATCCATACCCATTCCCAGCGAAGAGATAACCAGAATGTTAAACGAAGGAATAATCAGGCCAAGAGTCCATACAATTCACCAATAATATAAGAAAGGACTAAATGAAGATGGAACTCTAAAACAAAGGACGGTAATTGATTATAAAAAGTTAAATGACGTTACGATACCGGAAAAATACCCAATTTCTGAGACAAATATAATATTAGCAAACTTAGGACAATATAAATACTTTAGGACTAATGATTTAGAATCAGGATTTCATCAAACTGGAGACATTGAAAAACAGCCTTTTCGGTAAATAATGGCAAGTACGAGTACGCGAGAATCCCATTCGGTTTAAAAAATGCACCAAGCATATTACAAAGGGCAATGGACAATATACTGAACTGCTTTTAGAACACAAAGTCATATTAAATAAATTAAATAAAACATCAGATTCTAAAAATCTAATTGCTAATCGAAATGATCGAGACCTTACTAAAGGAGCTAAAAGTAAATGATAGACCTAAAAGGGGAATAAATGAACTAGGTACACTTTGGAAATGGATCGCGGGAAAACCAGATCACGACGACTTTTTTTAAATTAATGAGAAAATTAATGACATAATAATAAATAGTAATAAACAGTTCATGTTAAATTCAAAATTCTTTAACATAATAAACAAATTAACGGATCAATTAGAAGCTAATAAATAAGCAAGAGGAAATATCAAAATAGTACGAAAAATAATTAAATTGATTCTAACGGACTTGACTAATCTTATTCATACAATTAGTCTAGCAAAAGTAAAAATATTATTTACAGGGATACTAAACCTTAACGAAATCAGACAAATCGTGAAGATAGATGAAAAAATATAACTCTTACAGACATATTAGATGCCTCCTCTTTTAAAGTAATCCAAACGCAAGATTGTGTAATAGTATATATAAAATTTCCAATAATAAATAT